CTCACTACATTTTAGCGCTGCCATGGAAAAGAAAAACATGTTAACACTTAAATAGTTTTGAACTCAGAAGTTTAAAAACTTATCTGGGAGAAATCTCTATCGTTTTCGTATATAAAATACCCTTACAGAACGGTTAAAACGCTTGCAAAGAATAGTATTAGACAGTTATCGTTTGTTTCCTGTCAATTCTGTCGAGGAGTGACGTCACTTGATCACGTGATAACACCTGTTCAGCTACTCATTGGGCACTGCTATCATACATAATATTAAACTAGAGTAACTGCAGTTTTCAAAAATGTATGATAGCATTTGTCCCCCCGAGTGGTAATGAAAGGCCATTGTTGGGGCCCTGGCCCATGGACTAATTAGCTTCGTTTGTAAAAAGGCCAGCCAACAGATAGGAGTTTTAAGACGTCTAAGAAAACTAATACCCACTCACGCTAAACTACAACTTTATAAAGCCGCCAATTTACCTCACTTGTCCTACTGCAGTATCATCTGTCATTTCTGCAGGACCTCAGACAAACGTAAGCTTGAAAGACTACAAGAGAGGGCCATGAGAGTAGTTCTTAAGAGCGAATGTTACCAACGGTCAAACATATGTGGCAACAGCAAAAAATCGATTCGGCTCATATTCTCAAGTTAGGTAGGCCTTATGGTGAAACAAAGCACTGCATACTTCGTTTGGCTGAATATCGATTTATTTTCGAGAAGATCGATAATAACTGAAAACAACCAAATGCCGCTTTTGAAGCTCAAAATGTCAGACAAATCTCGGAGCGTCACGCCACGAATTGAAAACACTTGGACCGATAAAAACTACCAAATCTTGAAAAAAAAAAACATCAATACATATGTTGACAGCAATTTGAGCAATTCTTGATCGTATATTTACACACTCTAATTGAATTTAACCGACCCTCTTCTAACAAGATTAAAAATAGGTCAAAAGTAACCCGTTAGTTAACTATGTGTTAAGCTTAAATCTTTCTAGATTTTTTGCATAATTTGCTGTGACTGAAACTTTGCCAGTCCCGGGAAGTTATTTCGCCGCACGGGCCACGCAGGTATGTCGACCAACTGGTATTTGCGCAACTTTCTGTGCGTGCCAAAATCTAATCTCATCTTCGCTTGAAAAACAAGAAAAGC